GTTAGCCTCCCACGCAGACGCTCTTAGGGCTTGTCACGCGTTCCTTCCTTCGTGGGGAAGGAATGTGTTGGATGGAGGCTATGTAAATAGTGTAATAAACTAACTATAACCAAAACCAAAACAAGGAAACAACGAGTTCAAATAATGATATGCGTGTATGGAAGTAACCACGTTGCGCAAGATAAAACGCCCATCATGCGCAGCCAAGCGTTATGAGAAAGTAGTTTTGATTGATGTATTAATTGATGGATACCGCCCCCTCAGTTATTTGGAGCTCTATTTCACTTGAATATTTTAATTTGCATTGGTTTAAAGACCAATGCAAATTATGCAAATGTTTTGGTGTTTTTGCCCGCAGTTTTCTTTGAATGTGCGGTGGTGTTACAGATCGTGTAATTGTTCGTTCAATCGGCGGCTTCATACCTAAACAAAATCAAGCAGAGATGTTTTTTGGCAAAGAAATTTTGCGGCGTGTTGTGCTCGTCGCCATCGGCGGGATAGTTGCAGTGTTGGCCTACAAGTTGTTCAGAGGCGACGGGGGAGCAACAGCGCAGAGAGAGATCAGAGGAGAAGATGAGTTAAACGAAGCTAAGCAGCCACAAGAACATGACGAGAGGTTTTGCTGACAAGGTGTGTGGTTGTTTTAATATCAAGAATAGCAGGAAAAGTTTTGATTTCTCTGAGGCAACATATATATCTGAAAAGGTTTGTGTCAACATTGAAAAGTAGAGAATGCGCGCTGTTGAGACCTGTCACGCTAAGATTTTTTTTATTATTGTAAAATTTTCTAGATTTATTTCTAGTGGTCATTGTTGTTTCGTATTTATTTTTATGTATGGTTTATTTTGATGAAAAAGGTCGATGCTACGAGGCATGAGGAGGATAGGTAACAGGTATTTTGATGAAAAAAAAAATGCAAATCAGTATGCTAACTTTGTCATGTTTCCTACATGTGCTATTTTTGCTGGGACCTTTTACGCGCCATTTTAAATCAGCATAAAACTTTTGTGATTGTTGCGTCATGCTTTTCCGCTTTTCCGGTGCTTTTCCAGGTCACTTCTTGCTTTTCCGGTCCAGCGTGACTGCATAACGGGCGTTTGTCACGCGATCAGGCTACTAGCGGCCAAAAATGGGATCGTCGATCCCCTATCCCTTGTGGTATCTTATGATATGCACGTTCAGCTTCGCGAGATATACTTATATACTGAACTTGCAATCGGACCGACCTTTTTGAAGGACCATGGACTTCCTTTTGAGTTGATATAAAGATCGTGAACAAGTCTTATGGATTTTCTTCTTTTCTCCTTGCATTGATCTCATGTTCATTGATGTTTCTGTTCTGATTCTAGGAATATTCAACGGAAGGGAATACTTACAGCCGGCATTTTAATACTTTAACCTTTAGATGTCAGATTAACCTGAATTCCCATAATTTCTTGGACAACGGAAATGTGCCAGTAGTTGTCGCGGATCATGTGGATACTTGTTTGATGCATAGTACGAACAATAAGCACCGCAACTGTGTTTGTAAATGATATTGACTTTTTAAATAACCGAACATTGTTGNCCGAACATTGTGTTGATCAAATGTTATTCATGTCCAAGAACTGTTGCGTTTTATTGCCGCGACTTTGTCGTGTTCACGGCCCACCAAACTTGCCATAAACTGCAGTTTGTAGCTTAATTTTGTTCAGTAAACAGTACTAGTTCACAGTAAAATGTGTATTCACAACATTTGTTTATAAAAGGTATACGCTGAGAAACAGATACCCAAGTGACTTGGTATTCTAACTGTTACATGGCCGCCGTTGTTAAGTGCACGGCAGAAATGATCGCTTGTACAGGAACTTGTCATTCATGTTTGTACTTGTGTTTCGCTAACCTAAAGAAGCATGGTTGCTGTTTTCGTAGTTCTTTCCAATGAAAAGAAGAATTCAGTCTGTAGTTGTATGTATCATGAAAAGCAAAGAAATAAACTGTAAATGTTATTTTACCTTGCAAGATACTATGACTTTTTCTCTGAACAGTTTATGTGGCGATGA